AAGCTGAGAAATGCTGGTCTGATGGAAGGCAAAGACGCAGACAGAAACGTGACATGCAAAGTAAAAAGAAAAGAGACTGACACGCTCCTCAGGGAATATAAGGAAGCGTGTTAGCTCTGAATCCCTGTTTGGGTCAACTTGTTTATTTGCATTAGCAGTTCGGATGAATTATTCTGTGTGGCGGTCGCCTCTGATTTATGGTTTTGCTCGTTATTAGACTTGGTAGGCAGCTTCTGGGAAAACTGCCAAAGACAGATTCAGCCAAAGGAATTTAACTCTGTCGTTCCTGTTTCCGTCTGTTCAAGTATTTTCCTTTGGAAATTTGGACTCACCTTGTGGCTACAGGTGAGACAGAACAGGTAACCATGGCTAGGTGGGGCCAGCCAGATGTGGCATTTGCCAGTTCTCTGAATCAATCAAAATTTTTGCTACCTGTCCGAACTGGCTGAATACCACCTCTGATGCCATGGTCCAAGTGTGTGAACAGATTACCTATCAATTTATATGGGTTGATCTGGCTCCAATCTCAGATTTAAATCCATTCAGGGCAAGGTCCTTGGTGCCCGCCATGCCCCCAGCCACTCCAGTCTTGAAGGCCAAGCCTGGCAAGGCAAGACTCCCAGCAAAGCACCTGAGCGGAGGTTCTCTGGCTTCTGCAGCAGTGGATAAGGGCCTCACATGTCATATTTGGGGACCATGGCTGACCCCCAGCACTCCCAACGTCCCAGGATCCTCCCCATTCTTAAGTTCAACTCTGGGAGATCGAATCTCCTGCAGCATCTCTCTGTGGTGGAGTGAATGTCCTCTTTACTGCTGGAGGCCTCCCCTGGCCATGGGACAGATCTTGCTGCTTTGGGCATCAACACAATTTCCACATGCTGAGCTTATTGTTCTGATTGCTGGATTCTAAGTTATCATTGCCAGAGGATGTTCCTTGCATACAGTGAATTTCAGGCTGCGTGTCTTGCAGTGATGGGATTCAAAAAATTTTACTACCGGTTCTGTGGGTGTGACTTGGTGGGCGTGGCAGGGGAAGGATACTGTAAAATCTCCAGTCAGAAATGGGATTTGCCGGTTCTCTGAACTACTCAAAATTTCCGCTACCGGTTCTCCAGAACTGGTCAGAACCTGCTGAATACCACCTCTGGTGTCTTGCCTCAGGGCCAAAAAGGCACCGTGGAAGAGAAGGCCCCAGGGGCATCGAATGCTGAGGAGCTGAGGGAGCGCTGCAGGCCACGTGGAGGCCTCTCCCAGATTTAAAACAGCTGATTCATTCCAGAGGATAAGGATCCTCTGTTGGAACAGGACACAGCAAGGCTGCCACAGACCTAGAGCCCCCGCTTCCATTCCCCACCAGCTGCCTTCCCAGAGTGACTTGGCCCTTCTGTCCTGGTGAATTCTCCTCTCTTCGTCTGGGAGTTGAATATTCTCCACCAACACATTGTTCTTGCTGCCCTCAGATTCAGATTAACAGAGTTGGAAGGGACCCTGTAGGTCATCTAGTCCAATCCCCTGCCCAAGCGGGACATCCCTACACCATTTCTGACAGAGGGCAGCCCAGTCTCTTCTTTAAAGCTTCCAGTGGTGAAGCTCCCACAACTTCCGAAGGCAACTTCTATCCCATTGGTTGATCGCTCTCCCTGTCAGAAAAATTCTCCTTATTTCCAGGTTGAAGCTCTCCTTTTTCAATTTCCATCCATTATTCCTTGTCTGGCCTTCGGGTGCCTTGGAAAACAGGTTGACGCCCTCCTGTCTCTGTGGCAGCCCCTCAAATATTGGAAGGCTGCTATCATGTCTCCCCAGATCCTTCTCTTCCCTAGACTAGCCATACCCAGTTCCTGCAAACTGTTCATCATATGTTTTAGCCTCCAGCTCCCTCATCATCCTGGTTGCTCTTCTCTGCCCTCTTTCTCTGCCCTCTTTTTTATAGTGTGGTGATCAAAACTGCATGCAGTATTCTAGGTGTGGCCTTACTAAGGCTTTGTAGAGTGATATTAGTACCTCCCTTGATCTTGATTATATCTCTGTTAATGCAACTTAGGATTGCATTGGCGTTTTTGGCTGCTGTCGTACACTGCTGGCTTATATTTAACTGGTTATCCACTAAGACTCCAAGATCCCTCTCACAGTTACTGCTATTGAGCCTGATTTCACCCAATCTATATGTGTACTTTTGGTTTTTCTTGCCTAAGTGTAGGTCTTCACTTTTCTCTATGTTGAATTTCATTGTGTTAGATAGGGCCCTGTGTTCAAGTCTGTCAAGATCCATCTGGATCTTGAGCCTATCTTCTTGGGTGTTAGCTGTTCCTGCCTGTTTAGTATCATCTGCAAATTTGGTAAGTTCCCCTTCTATTCCCTCATCTAAGTCGTTAATGAAGATATTGAAGAGTCCTGGGCCTAAGACGGAACCTTGTGGCACCCCACTGCTTACTTCCCTCCATCTAGACTTAGACCCATTAAGGGCTACTCGTCGAGTACGATTTATTCCACATCCTTCTCCAGGATTTGCTATTAACTGCTGACCGCATTCTGTGGTCTTCCCAGGGATCACACTGGGCCTTCTGTTGTCTTGGCTAAGGTGAGAGCCACTTAAATAGAGCTGGCTTGGGAACCATCTCTTTTTGATCCCTCGCCTAAGCCGAGCCATCCGGATTGCTCAGCAGGCACACGCCGCACCTTTGGCCATGTGATGTTGCCTTCAGCTTCATCCTAAGCTCTGCCTCAGATGTGAGTTGCAAAGGCCACAAAGAAGAGCAAGGATCTGATCTTCCCAACGTATTTGTCCTTCTCTCCAAAAATATCTGGCTCTATGATTCCAGCAGAAGAAACTTAATGCAACAAGTCTGTAGAGATCCTCAGTCCTCCAGGTCATGGTTGTCCCAAGGGTGCTTTTTTCAGGAGGCACCTGGACTTCCTTGGTTTTTTCTTTTGAAGACCTTTCACTTCTCATCCAAGAAGCTTCTTCAGCTCTGACTGGATGGTGGGGAAGGGAAGGATTTATATTCTTTTTATATGCTGTCTGCAAGGAATCTAAATCCTTCCATTCCCCACCATCCAGTCAGAGCTGAAGAAGCTTCTTGGATGAGAAACTGAACAAAAAAACCCAAGCAAGTCCAGTTGCCTCTTGAAAAAAGCACCTTTGAGTCAATGCAACAAGCACATTGAGGGTGATGTAGTGGGCCTTCTTAGCTCCAGATTACATTGGAAAACTCTTCTGCCCAGCTGCAATCTGTTAAGTACAAATGCCGTTTGAACCAAGGTTGACCATTTGGTCTTCTGCTTCCAAGTCTGCCCTCCAGGATTAAGGATTTGGCAATTGTCCTTCCCCCTTCACATCCATCGCCTGAGGAACTTCCCTTTTATTTGTTTTATTTTTTATTTATTTTGATTTGTCAGTCGCGTACAAGATAATAGGTGTAGTTATGAATACATGAAATGAGTACGTATAAGAAAAATAAAAGAAACAATAGGACAGGGACGGTAGGCACGTTGGTGCACTTATGCACGCCCCCTACAGATCTCTTAGGAAAGGGGTGAGGTCAATAGTAGACAGTCTAAGGTTAAAGTTTTTGGGGTTTGGAGAAGAAACCACCGAGTCAGGTAGAGTATTCCAGACATTGACCACTCTGTTGCTGAAATCATATTTCCTGCAATCAAGTTTGGTGCAGTTAACTTTGAGTTTGTATCTATTGTATGCTCTTGTTTTGTTATGGTTGAAGCTGAAGTATTTATTCACAGACAAGTCATTGCAATGTATGATTTTATATACCATACTTAGATCAGACCGAAGACAGCGTAATTCAAAGTTTTCTAGGTCTAGAATTTCAAATCTGGTGGCATAAGGTATTGTACGAGTAGAGGAGTGGAGAACTCTTCTTGTGAAATATTTCCGGACTTTCTCAACTGTGCTAATATCAGATACGTAATGTGGGTTCCAGACTGATGAGCTGTATTCGAGTATTGGTCTAGCAAATGTTTTGTATGCTCTAGTTAGTAGTGTGATATTACCAGAGAAAAAGCTACGTAGGATTAGGTTAACAACTCTTAATGCCTTTTTGGCTATGTAGTTACAGTGGGCTCTAGCACTTAGATCATTAGAGATGAGTACTCCAAGGTCCTTGACAGAGTTTGGATCATCAACAAGGTCTTGACTATTCAGCTTGTATTTTATTTTCTGATTTTTTTTGCCAATATGTAAGACAGAGCACTTATTTGTTGAGATTTGAAGTTGCCATTTCTTTTGAGTTTTCTGAGCAGCAGGTGAGGGGTCTGGGGCTGCCCCAGCAAAGCTGGCTGTGAAATTCTGGGAATTGACATTCACTAGGCTTAAAATCACCAAGGCTGGGGACCCCTGTTCTAAAGGGAGCCCTGCCTTGCACAAGCTCTTCAGCAGCTCCCACACCTGATTGTGCAAATGGAAGAGGGTGCAGGGAGATGACTTGGGTTGCTCTGCGCAGGAAGGGTTTGATTTTTTTCTGATGTAGTCATTTGGCTGTGAGGGGCAGCAGCCAATGCCAATTTTTCACATTCCTTAGATGGTCAGAAACTCTCTAAAGCAACTCTCACCATCAAAATCTTGGCGTTTGGCAATTGCGCAAGACATTTTTGGCAGCTGGCCAGGGAAGCCTTCGCTCCTCTGGGAGAGCACACGTGCAGATGGTGAATCAAATCTTATGATGTAATAAATATGTATGAAATCACATTCCTCAACTCTCTCTCTCAAGCACACACACACTTCTCTGTGAAGTCCTACACAAACCTGGTCTGGCTTCTGACCATGCAAAATCCTGGCCAAATAAAAGCAGGTCTTCCCCAAATCCCAAGAAAAACAATAGAGCATGCTTGTAAAACAACAGTCCCTCCCCATCCCAGGCATAGAAGTGTAACAATAACAACAATAAACATAATAAACATAATAATAATAATAATAATAATAATAATAATAATAATAATAATAATAATAATAATAATAATAATAATACCCTCAAGGAACCCAGTACCTGGAGCCTGCAGTAGCAGAGAACAGCTATAATGCACAGTAATATAACAGTTGCTAATATTCCGCCAGTGATAACCACGGTCCCCGCTGTCATCCGACCTCTTCCCCATCAACACCTGGAAAGGAAAGCAGAAGGGACCTTCAGGGCAGGGAGGTCAAGTGGGGGCACAGGGGATGCAAGAAGGAGGCCTGTGGCCGTCAGCTCACTCCGTCAGACCCAGACAACTCCTCCAATCACTGAAATCACATTTCAGCAACTGCCTAAGATGGGGGGGGGGTCATACTCAAGACCTGGGGATAGATGCAGCCTGCAGGGTGCTTAGATCTGGCCCACGGGGCTGCCCTGGAAACATCAAAGGACACACCTATGGGGCCTCTGCCAGCGAAAATGGAGCTCCGTTTTGGCTGGTAGAGGGTTGCAGGAGGCCATCACAGCCGAAAACGGAGCTTGAGAGCCTGATTTTGCTGGCAAAGTGCTCGGGCCACCACAGGCACCCCAACACGAGCGACATTGACCCTGGCCCTTCCCACCCCAGCCACCCAAGATCAAACACAAATCTGATGCGGCCCTCAATGAAATCGAATTTGACATCCCTGGTCCAAGAAAGCTTGCATCCAGTCAGCAAGAGCTCCCTTACAATAATGTTTCAGCCATCTTGTGAAAGGTCTTGCAAACCTGCAGGCACTTTGTGTGAAAACTCACTTCTGGGATTGCTTGCAAGAATCTGGGCCAATTCCACAACAGGTCTAGGAACCAGAAACAGTTGGCAGTCCCACATCCCCACAACAGATTCAAACCACGATCCGTTTCCTTTTCAGACCCAAGGCCTGGGAAGTGGCCTTCCTGCATGAAGCGCTTCAGTTCCAACAAAGACAAAGCTGGCAACAAACCAGGTTGCCTTAAAATTGCCAAAGAGGATTCCTTTAGGGCTGAAGTTAAACGAACACCCTTTCAACAGTTATTTTAAAAATTGCTCTTTTGTTATTGCTCTTTTTCAAAATCTATCACACCACTAGATTTTTTTCACTGTGTGAACAAGCACAAAAAGATATTAAGAGTTTGCCAGGATCTGAGTTGAACCTTGCAATGTAGTTACCACGATATAGCTGTCGACACTGAAGCAAACGTGGCTGAAGCCATCATGTGCTGCCTCATAGTTGCCATAAAGCCAGAGAAGGGGAAGGGAGGGAGGAAGTAGATAGCCAGGCTCCAGTCAAAACAAAACACTTTCTTGTGGGAACCAAGGTCACTGAAACAGGTGGCCACTGAAAGTGGAGAAGAGCCTGCCTTCTTGGGAGGGAGGAGTTTGATTCTTTTAATCAGGTGAAAGCCACAGGAACTGTTAAGGGTTTTCACCAGCTGTGCCGATATGATGTATCCAATAAACATATCCTTTGAGGAATCTACCTGCCTCAGGTGCAGTACTCAGAATGCTGACAATAACTATATATTGTGATGGGACTGAAGGGCACCTAGGAAATCTACACAAGATGTGTATTAAAACACAACTGAGACTGAAATTATGTGTTTGCCAAAAAAGGGGGAGGTGTAAAGAGGATGTGCTTGATTTCCCCATTTGATTTAATATATTCTAGCTTTGATTTAATATATTCTAGCTTTGATTTTTAAATAAAACTGCTCTTGAGATGGGCAGCCTTAAAAAAAAATCTTATAAATAAATGATCTATTTCTGAACAGCCTTCTGTTAGACCAAATTATGCCAACTTGATGATGGACCAGAGCCAATTAACAGCTAAAATCATGACTTTAAACTTTCCAAGAATTATTTGCCATCACTCTTTCCATTCTTCCATGGGTCTCTTGGCCAAGCTGACTAGGGGGGAGAGGAAACCTCCCCAATTACCCCAATGGGTTCCCAGATCAACTCTGAGGCTCAAAGCTGCAGGAAGAGCCAGATTTGGTGACCTACTTAATAAAGCTATTTGTTAAATCTTCACATGAATAAAGGTTTTGGGGCATCACAGGAACCTTGTAGATCTTTGCAGCATAAATATCTTATCAGGGAAAGGGTCAGGCACTGGATTCTGCTCAATTTGACTATGTAAAGATCCTTCTCTTTAAAATGAAGGTTACTCTTGCCCTCTTTTGAACTCTCCTCAAGCCATTTGCTCAAGACTTGAGGTCCAGCCGCTCATTACTGCCTGACCACACCAGAAAGCAAGCGAAAGCGGAGCTCCCGCCTCACAATCAGGAGGCTGTGAGTTCAATCTTAGGTAGAGGCAGATATTTCTCTCTCGGAGCCTAATGAGAATGTATCTGCTAAACAAAGCTCTGTATTGGCGACAGGAAAGGCATCTGACCATTAAACATTCTGCTCGCTCCATTCAGTTGCCCAGACTCCACCCCGCAAGAGATTATGGGGTCGTTAAATGATGATGATGACTCCAGAAACCAAACAGTTTGACTTTCAGCAGACCAACTGATGGAGTAAACCCTGAAGAACAAAAATGGGGGGAAGTATTAATGAACCCAAAACAGGCATCTAATTAATACTTCACAGTATCACCAAAGGACTCCTTCAAAATGCTGCCAATTGAAGCAACATCTGAGGCCCAGTTGGCAAGAGTGGTGGTCTGTCTCTCCCTCGCAGATGATCTGACTGAGGCAACTATTTTTCATCCTGTTGTCCAAGCTGAGAAGCTGGAAGGGGGGAGGAGCATCAACCCTGCCAGACTCACATCCATCCGAGATGCAGCCCAGGGATCTACTTCCACAATGACTTGGCCTCAAATCCCCTTAGTGACCAGCCAGTTTGTGTGGAATGGAGCTGCACAATGCTCTTCTCTCTTTTGCTACTAATGAATGCCAACAAGCAGACACAATGACAGCCCTGATCTCCTGGCCCACAATCAAGAGTCCAGATCAAAATCGACCCAGAATCACAGGGAGAGTCTGCCAGGGGTTTAAAGCAATGTCTGTAAGACAAACATCTGGATGTGATGCTCAGCTTTTTAAAGCGCTGCTGAAAAGTTGGGGAGAGAGATTTTTTCTGCTCCCACCAATAACAATAGCCCTTAGATTTATATACCACTTTATAGCACTCTACAGGCCTCTAAGCAGTTTACAGAGTCAGCTTCTTTCCCCCAACAATCTGGGTCCTCATTTTACCCACCTCGGAAGAATGGAAGGCTGAGTCAGCCTTGAGCTGGTCAGAAGTGAACTGCTGACAGTGGGCAAAATTAGCCTGCAATACTTCATTCTAACCACTGAGCCACCACAGCTCTTAGATAGATATACAGATTAGATAGATAGTGTTAGGGATACACCCTAGCAGAATCTGCACGGCAGTCAGGCAGGCAGGCAAAATATGTGAGATAAACGTTTTTGTAGCTTACACTCAGTAAAACAGATACACCGTGCTAGTTAAATAGTTTATTCCAGTAAGAGTTATAGCATAGTCAAACAGTCCATATATCATTCACTAATTCAGTCCGTCCAGGGATTATTCAGTTGCAAATTCCAGTGTCGAAAAAGAGAGGTCAGTAAACATACAAATATCAGTCCAGGAATATATCTCCTCGCAGTAGAGATATGAAGAAGTGAAAACTCCTTTCTTCCTTCAGCAACTCAGCAGTAGGGAAACTCGCAGTTAACAAACCATCAATCCATGCAATCCAGTAATTGTCAGGAATCGTCAGCAATCGTCAGCAAATGAGCAGGTTCTCTTGCTCCCTCTTATGGCGGTTCAACACCGCACCCAAAATTACATGCTTTGCAGTTTAAAGTGACACACACTTAAACTTACAATCATAGTTTATATATATTATTTTACCCAAACTACGTTAGGTAACCTTGTTATTCCTAATAGATAGATAGATAGATAGATAGAGCAATAGCAAGACTTCACAGTGCTTTATAGGCCTCTCTAAGTGGTTTACAGAGTCAGCCTATTTTCCCTAACAATCTGGGTCCTCGTTTTACCAAATTCAGAAAGATAGACGGTTGAGTCAACCTTGAGCCTAGTGAGAATCGAACTGCTGGCAATCAGCAGAATTAGCCTGCAATATTGCATTCCACTGCACCATCACAGCTGATAGATAGATAGATAGATAGAT